ACAGTCAGGTAGCAGGGCTTTCTTTTAGTGACAGTGGGATTAGCACTGAGGGTTTTCTCTCAGGACCTGAGGAGTCGTGCTGCAGCTTGAGTAACTGGATTACAGGCCTTTTTCCTCATTTCAAAGGGTTGTGAACTCCACAGAGGTCTCACATGATGGAATCGAACTGGCAGCTGAAAAAGTAGGGAGAGAAGCGACAACAGATTCTTGTCCCACTGGCATAAGCAAGCGGAGCAAAGGAAAAATATATTAAATCTTTTATTTTTGTGTTGCTCTGGCTATTGTGCCTTTTGTTTACATTTAGTAAGCAATTGCAAGGTGAATAAAAAAAACATTACTTGCATATTTTAAAGAACAGAACATATTTGCATTTAAAGTAAAAGATAAAGCTGCTAATAGCAGACCCCTGACTTTTTTCAGAATTTAACATCAACACATTGAGCGCCAAAGCTTTAGCAAGGGCACAGGGGGTAGTGAGGACATAGCCCATTCCATTGAGAACCTTGTGGTAACTTAAGAGGGATTATTTTAAAATCCTTTCAATGAAATTTCCATCTCAGTGCCTCCTTCTATATCTGAGCCATTCCAAGTGTCCATCCACTTCTGCATCACTTCTTTGTTGCACAAAACCAAAACAAATGCCTATGTAAAATATTGCCAGCGTATATTAGCAATAAAGGTTATAGCAAGTTTTCAAAAGGCAGGCCAATAGTGATGTAGTATAACAGGCAAAAAACTTCCTTAAAGGGAAATTTCAGGATTTATGAGGTGGGGTTATTTTAAAAGATTATAAGTTGTAAGAGATTGTTCACTGCCACACCAGGTCTGGTCAAATTCTGGTGCATTGCAGCATTGCATTCCAGCATTGTACTGTGAAAAATGCAAATGAAATCAAAGCAGATTCAATGAATATTCAGTTACAAAATGTACAGAGTTGACAAACTTTCTTCAGTCAATATATTCAAACCGTCAAAAATCATGCAATCTTCATGGGTCAAGCAGCTACAAGCCTCTTACTGCAGCTCCTAGGTTCCTGTCAGCTCCAACAGCCTCCTTTAAACAGAAACACAAAGACAGAGTATGCAGAACAAACAGTTTACCAGATGATGCAAACACCTTGGGGCTGCACTTCACCCTTCACCACTTCAACCACCCTGGGACATAGGCCAAGAGCCTGTTTGTAGACTTCAGCTAAACCCTTAACACCATCAACCAAGACGTTGTCCACCAGAAGCTCACCCAGCTCACAATAACCGCCCACACTTGACAGTGGATGTCCACTGGATAATTTCTAAGTCCTAGGAATCACCCTCTCTTAAAGCCGGGCATACACTGTGGGATTTTTTTAATCGCTGTGCGCAGCTACAGCTCACACTGTACGACAAAACTGCAGGGCTTTGTCGTACAACTCACACTATATGTTCTCACACTGTGCAGCACGACGCTCTGATGCGATCTACCTGCTCACACTGTATGTCTACAAACCACGTCAGACTCAGCTCCGCAGTGAGATGGCGCTACTTTGACTCATCCATCCGGAAGCCAAACCAGTAGAAGAGGAATATGAAGCTCACTAGAGTGAAACGCGCTGCCTTGGCAATTTGTGCAGTTTGGACGCATGATTGGGCTGAAAGTCGGCCCGATTGGAAAATTCTTGCACGACTGGAAAGTCCCCCCCGAAAAGGGCAAAAAACCGCACAGTGTTAAGCCCGGCGTGAGAATTAAGATGGTCCTCATGCATAAGACACTGTTTTGAAGAAAACCCAGCAGACCTTTCACCTCGGGATCCTCATTAAATACAAACATCCATAAGAGCTACTCATTGTCTCCTACACTGCCATTATTGAATGTTTTGTGCAGATCTATCACTGTGTGGTTTTGTAGTCAGATGAATGGCATGGGCCCTGCGATAGACTGCCAACCTGTTCATGGTTTACCCCACCTCTCACCCGTAGACAGCTGGAGATAGGCAACAGCACCCCTCGCGACCCCAGTAGGGATAAGTGTTGGAAAATGGATGGATGGATGGATGGATGGATGGATGGATGGATGGACGGACGGACGGACGGACGGACGGACGGATGGACGGACGGACGGACGGATGGATGGATGAATTGCATGGTTTTTGCATCAATTTATCAATGTACTTTTGCTTTTGAAAAAAAAAAATGCTTTTACATACAGCCATGGAAAACATTACTGGACCACCCCTTTTTTATTGTCTTTTTAAGCTGTTATGCCATAAGAACAGTATGGAAGAGGATTAGGGCAACTGGAAAAAAAAAGTTTACTTATTTTTTAATTTTATTTCAGTTTAATATGGGAAAAAAGACAGGATTCTGACTTTAATCTCAGATTCCGCCATTTTTCGCATATTAAACTGAAACAAAATTTAAAAATCAGTAAAGCTTTTTTCTTTTTTCAGTGGGCCTAATCCTCTTCCCCAAAACAGAAAATTAAGGTGTAATAATAATTGTTTTCATGACTCTACATATTTATAAAAGTATTTCTATGTAGTTATATTTCCTTTTTTGTATGTTCTTTATTTCTTAAGTGTCTTTACTGAACCAAAGTGAAATTCTTTGTTTGGGTGAGAATCTTGGATTTTAAAGGTGATTCAGATAAAGCATCTGTTTTTATCGCTCTGTGAAATGAAACTCACATCACTGGTATGTTCAAATTATTCAACTGTAAAAAGATTTCAGGTAAGTAGAGATTAGTGGGCTTGTGCTTTGGTGGCGCAGTGGTTAGTTCACACAACCCATGTATGCGGGCGACCCGGGTTAACTGGATTGTGGTCCTTTGCCACATGTCTCTCCCCCTTTCTCATACCCCGTTTCCTGTGAGCCTACTGTCCATAATAAAGAGCCACTAGTGCTGTAAAAACAGAAGAAAAAAGTAAAAACTAAAAAAACTAAAAAGGACGAGAGATTAGTGGATTTATTTTCTAAAAAAATGCATGGAAATGCTTAAAGATCTTCTAAACAACCTAGGATGGATTTCAGATCTGAAGCATCCCTGGTTGGTTGGGAGTGCAGCACCTTTGTAAACATTGCACTGTGATAAGGTTGGAGAGCAGGGGTGAAGTGAGCTGCATTGGGTGAAGTGCAAGCCGTTTTGTTCTGGAGACTAAGGAGACACGGCCTGGAAGTGAACTGAGTTCAGTGAAGCACAGTTGATGGCAAAGATACCTCAAACATGCTCAAAGAGGTGGAACACAAACAGCCACACTTTACAAATATATCCAAAACTCACCACACACACACACACACACACACACACACACACACACACACACACACACACACACACACACACACACACACACACCTTACACAACTATCTCTGATCTGGAGGAATATGAGCATGTTGTCATACACAGTATTTTATATTAACTCTTGATCACTAAAATCCAGGGTCTGTCTAGAGAGAGCTCGGAAATATGAAGCAAATTGCCACTCAAAATTTACACAATCTCGATTTTAAGATTCGTATGCAAGTTTAGTGAGATTTTTTGCACTTCATTCATCTATTCAGACATTGCACATTATTGCAGCCTAATCAACACATGCTGTGCCTTTCCTAAGTGCTGAAACTGCCTGAACAAATGAGAAAAGCAAAAAGAAAGACAAGGAGGAGGAAGAAGAGGAGGAGGGGAGGACAAGCTGGGCTGCAGAGCCATTCTCCTCCCTGGAAAGCTTCAGGCACGGTGGATCGCATTACTGACACTGCAGGAAACCCATTTCATTTTGAAGCGGCTTTGCTTGCAGTCCACAGAAAATAAGCCTTGGAGTTTTAAATACTTAAAAATTAGCTGTACTGTGCGGAATATTACAAATATGGTTTTCTATTACTTCTTACTCCAAAGTTATATGCACATTTCCAGTTATGGAGCTGGGAATCAAATTAAATAAGCTCAGGTAGGATAAGGCTCCTTCCAAAGCCTGTCGCACATTTTTTCTCCTTTTTTCCAGCGAAGGCCTGAGCAGAGCGTTCCCACATGCTTCCCCACTGCTCAGCTCTGCAGAGGTGTCAAGCCGGCCTGAAAGAATGAAGTGCCTCCCCATTGTGCTACCCAACTATTATGTGCTTAACATTTCCATGACAAAGATGCCACTCGACTTCTCCTCCGTCTATTCAGCTGGAGGGCCCTTGTCCCAAGCACTAATAAAACATTTTGCAGCACATCATGGATGTAAAGCCCCAACCTAGAGATGATTCTGCAGTATCTCCTGTTGTTATTTGCAAATACTTAGCAGTCAAATGAATTCATACAGAGTAATGCATCATAGAATAACTATTTGAAAGAAATGTGTGGAGGAAGGAAATACAGCAAATGTGTTTTACTGCAATTGGCATTTTCTACACAGCAGAGAGATGTTGGTGGCTGCAGAGGGGGGGTTTGTTGATTTATGGGGACAGTTGTTTTTGACAAAAGGCAGCTAAATCAAGACATTGCAGGTCATTAGGCTATCACTCAGCAGGGGGAAACTTAAACGACTGTTTCCTACTGAAGTCCCAGAAACAGGGATTGGGGTGTTTTTTTGGACACATTCTAAAAACTGGGAAAAAATAATAAAACTCTCACACATATTTTCATTAGCATTTACAAAGTGTTGCATTTTATTCGATTAAAACAGAGCATGTAGCCGACCAAAACTGACAAAAAGCGAGCTCCTCTTTTCACCTTTAACTGTCACGTAAAGTCAAAAGAGGAAAAAAAAAATCACACTGATTTACATTACGGTATAAAAAGAAAGATCTTGATGTAACGTGGAGGGATCAGAGAGAGTACTTTTAAGTGCTTGCAGTATTTCTTATCCAAAATCTAGCCTTGCTTATAAAAGCTAATTAGCTTCTTTCTGGTTATTAAATCCCAAGCTCTATAACAGTTTCATAAATATCTCTAAGTCAAAACTTTACAAACTTCATGAATCATCTTGTCTAACACTGTCAAATGAAGCAGTGTGTGGCACAAATGAACAACTCACAGTCGTAAATTTTATCTTCAAGTTTTCTTTATGCCTTCAGAAAAAAAGGGACATTATCAAGGCAATAATACAGTGGATTTAGACATTTGGTTTAAATCTAGACTTTACATCATGTATAAATCATCTCATAGCCTAAAACATAAAGGATTTTCTGAACAAACGGCAAAAAAAAACTCTGTATCAGCTATATATGTATGTACAGTGTATGTACACCATTTTTGATCAATATAACTTCCCTTTAAAGCTGGAATTCTCAGTCTTTATACACATGTTGTCTATTTGGAGGCGTGTAATAAATTACTGTTTCACTTTTAATCCTGATCTTATTTACAAGTTACATTAAATATTTGCAAATCAGATAACAGTGGTGCCAAACAGCAACTGCCTTGTCAAATATAAAAATATGGTTCATACTTTAAAAGTAAAGAGAAAGATTGGCAGTGCACAGCTGATTAAAACAAGTTTACAATCAGAGTCTGTGACAGGAGAAAGTTGGCAGTCCTGTTAAGCTTATTTTATAAGCAAAGCCTCTATTCAGAAACACGAAGTGGTGCCACATCTGTTACATCCTCTTGATCCTGTTTGCTTTATGATGTTGAAGAAATGTATTTTCAGTCTAGGCTTTTACTTTAAAAAGTCGGTAAGTGACATTTACATTGCCTTTTCACCAGGATTTAAACCAGGTTTAATAGAGGGATGACAGAGCCATCGTGGATGCCAGCAGGGTCAAACCCCCGCATCCCGCAACCGAGATGGAGGCTGCGGTCACTGGTTTTGGTGTAACCTCCGTATATTCCTCCCACCCGTCCTCGTCGTCCGTCCCGCTGCCATCGTCTTGGTCTGGATTGTCGAAGCAAAGCACCTGCATGCTCCTCTTTATAAACTCACAGATGGCCCTCTCCGCTCCGTCGCACATGCACGTCTCCAACTTCTGACCCTTTGGGATTTTACGCATGTTCGCAATGACGCGCCGGCAGGCGTTCGTGCAGGTCGCGCCGTTAAAAAGTTTCCCGCAGTAGTGCAAGTAGTCCTGCATGGCGGAGCCGCACTGAGCGTCCCGCGCGCACTGTAATCGGGCTTCCGTGCAGCCCGTGCTGGTAGTCCTGGGGAGGCACGGCTCGATGGCATGCTTGGTGCGCGCGCACCGCATGTCTTCACCGCAGCTGCAGTCCTCCAGAGCCGGACCGCTTTTGGTCATGTTGAGCTGGACGAGCGAGGAGATGCAGTGGCTGGGACACCTCTTCTTACCCCCGCTCAGCACAGGCCTGCAGGCCAGGACGTAGTGGTCATAAGCGTAGCTGCATTCGGGCTCGTTTTTACAGTTCAGGATGGCTTGCCAGCAGATCAGCCGCCGGCCGTGGTGCGGTGAAGCCACCGAGAAGTAGCCAAACACCAGAAGCAGGCAACCAAGGGGCCAAACAGTTCTGCAAACTCCCAGCATTGAAAGGGTTAAGTTTGCCATCATCAAGGCTGCTTGGCACGGTCAAAGTTAAAGCAGCGTCATAAGTGCATCCATTGATAGTGTCAAATCTGGAGAAGAGTAATTTAATCCGAGGCAGATGGTGTGTGATCGGGTGGTTCTGTGGGCGTTCAGCGGGTTTCCACTGCGCTCTGGGATTCCGTCTCTAGAAACCTGTCAGCGCTGATCCACTTTGGCAGGATTTCTGCGCAAACCATCCGTAAAAAAAAAATTTAAAAAAATGGAAAAACCTTAATATGAAACTCAGACGCACCAACAGATTAAAAAAAAGTTCTTCAAAAGAGTGGGAGAGTACATCGAGGAACAGCTGCCTCCACTGCAGCGTCTCTCCGTTGCGCGGATCCACCAAGTAAAACCGGACAAACCCAAAGTGCGTTGGATCATTGAGCGCTTCTTGTTAAGAGGGCTACAAACAAACAGTAGGAGGGGGAAAACAACAACTCTTGTGGCTCTCAAAGTGGTCCTCTACTCCCAACCCCTTTGAGCATTTGTCTTTGGTTTCCACAGCCCCCCTTGCCATACATTTGTGAAGTGCGCCTCATTGGTTGGCAACTTGTTGAGGGTTCGTACGTAATAATGGGCGGGAGTTTATGATGGGAGGAGGGCGAGCCTTGAGAAAACACTCCATGAGGAGAGGATGAATGCGCCTGAGTGTAGATCAGTGGTGGGAACACTGCTCCCAATTATGTGGGGACATTATTGTGAGACCTTTTATGTGCTTGCTGAACTCATTCAAATAAAACCCAGGAACCTGACGTCATCCTTAAATTAGATTAGTTAAATGGTATGTAAATATGCTTAATTTTTTGGTTATCTATAAGTTATTATTAGGATTTTCCATAAACCTGATATATGCACAGTATTTATATTGTTAAAACGCTTTACACTACAATATTATATTTGTTTTTGTTTTTTTAAAACTCTTCCCTATTATGTTATTCTTATACACTTTTCTAAGGTTCAAATTTATGTGACCATTTTTTCTACTATCTTTTTGCTGCTGTACACACCAGAAATTCCCCATTAAGGGATAATAAAGGTATTTTCTATTCTCTTCTATTTTGCGGCTTTGCATTTTTGGCAACCACTGGGTAATACAAAGCAGGGATGAATGTTTTAATAATAGTAATAATCATCCTGATATTTCACAATAACAAACAATGACACATGTAATTATAGATGTAAGAACAACTTTCTGATTATATAATGGGAACTGATAAACCTTTCCATTTCTTCATGTTACATGTTAGATCAGTACAATAGTTCTCAGGTCTGAGCTAAATGGTGCACCTTAAGCATTTCAAAATAAATTTTCTTACCTTCAGATTAGTTCAAACTGAGTCAGACTGGACAGAGAACATTTGTGACCAACAACTTTAAGTCTTCCTCAGTTGGATTTAGGTTGTGTTATGTAGTTCTAACACAAATGTGATATGAAATAACATTTTGTAGAACATTGAGGGTCCAGGGTTCTTTTTACTTGTGTAAAAAAAAGATTAATTACAATATGAGCAACCTTTCATGTCTTATTGTAAAACCTAATAAATAGGGAACAATTCAACTCTCTTTAATGTACACATTACATAATTTAATAATGTGAAAAAATCCATCTTGGTTTCAGTCATGCAATAATTTTATTTGATTATAATTTCTTATCTGCCACTCTGCTTTTCGATTTGCCATTTAATATGTTTTGTGATAAGTGTTACTACACAGGTACATTAAAAAGTCACAGCATATTTGAATCGTGTTCCGAAATAAACAATGAGCTAAAACATGCAAAACATATTTTTTACAGAATAACAAAGAGTATCATTGATACAAATGTGTGACAGCAGCCTGGTAAAATATATGATCAAAATTGATTAATTGATCGAATATTGTTTGAGTAGTATGTTTTATAGTGGTTAACTTCTACAGGATAGTCTGCTTCTGTTTTAGCCTTTTTTCTGGTTTTGTTTGGGGGTGGGATCTATACATTAACAAGCTTTGGAGGTTACTCACAAATATCTGTGAATATTACCACATGACATTACCATGTACAATTAAAGTAGGTAGCAGGTGATATCATTCAGCATTTTATTTTATTTTTCCCTATACATCTGCCATATAGCCAATGTATCTGATTTTTCCTCCTTGGCTTAACATGTTTTCATTTTTGGGGATTTAAAATTTTTTTTTTCTGGATGTTCTCCTCGTGGTAAGCCTGATTCATCCAGCAAAATAATAATAATAAAAAAAAAAATTAAGTGATTTTCCAAACCTTAAAGACCTCATACATTACGATAAATAATCATAGACATAACAACAGACAGATTTCATTCAGGAAAATTTAGATGTCTGAGGGTAAATCTTATAAAGACTTATGAGATCAAATGTGAATTCTGAGTAAATAAACATGGCTGAGGAGGAAGAAGCTATGGCAGGACGTTGTGGACTGAGTTTGATATTTAGACATTACAGAAAGTGAAGAAAGGTCTAACAGGGGTTGGTAAACTTCTAAATATTTGTTTTCTCTGGAAAAATTCTGATTTGCAGTACATCAGATTTAGCAATTTGCTTCCTTATTTGCACACAAGGATCACTAAACACCCTAGGATATGAAGCCAAGACAGGACAGCATGTTGGAGATCTCATATCTCAGTTGGGGTGGTCCCCCCAAATGGGGTGATGTGCTCTAAGAAAGTAGAACACATCACCCCAGTTCTAAAGTCCTTACACTGGCTGTTTTATTTTCCTATATTTTAATCATGTAAAGCACTTAGCATTGTCTTTGTACTGAATTGTGCTATACAGATAAATTTGCCTTGCCTTGCCTTGCCCAATGACCTTCCAAGCAGAGCAGATCTCTAATAGTACCCCGCACATGGCAGGATCCTTTTATTAACATTTTTTTCAAGAGGCATCACAGTATTTTGGGTCTTGGGGGAGGAAGATCGGAGAAAAAAATCTCCACTATTATCTTGCCTTGTGAACCTGGCATTAGTCGAGTTAAAATCTTTTAGCAGCAGTTCATCATTTGGGGTAGATGAGTCGCTGCAGGGGGAGAGCATAGTGGCAGAGTGTCTAAAATTGCAGCTCTTCTCCTTGAAAAAGTGCAACAATTTGCTAAATGTGAAAGTGTCACATAAAAAACTATTATAATACAAATAAGCACCTTTGAATAACTCATTTTAGAATGTTCTTATATTGAAGTATAGTTGTTTTTTTATTTTGACAGCAAAGGATTAAGGTCATTATACCACTACAAGGGGAACTCTGATGAAAAAAAGTTTGCACAGTTTTATGCTGCTGCTAACATTTTCTACTGCTTAAAGTTTTTTTGCATTTAGTTACAAAAGTCCCAATTTAATTGTATATAACAACACCGCCTTGTTCAACATTTTCACAGTACACCCTACGTGACTTTTAAAGTCCACATTTATGACATCAAATGTTTTCCCTATAAAAAAATTATCCAAGTTGAGCAATGGTCTTTTTTGAAAGTGCTGATTAGTAATGCATATTTTTAGGGGTTTTTAATACAACATGACACAGATTCCAAATTATCTCTGGCCACAAGACTGCTTATCTTGCCAGCACATGCAGGGAGTAGAATAATCTGGGAAGTGAAGCTTACTGAAAAAGAAATGCTCCAAAGAGAGGTATTTTTGGGTCTCCAGCTCTCCATTAGATGCTAATGACATACAGAAGCATTGCTTATGCAAAAAAAAAAAAGACAATTTTCTGTCACTTCCACAAATATGAACCTATGCAATGTGATAAATCACTACAACTTTAAGAGGAACTGTAGCGTTTGGTCACTTGTAATCTTCACAGTAAAAAAAAACAAAAAAACCTGGTGAACACTAAGCAAAATTGATCCTTATGGGATCTTTCAACAGAATAATAGTCTTAAAACTTTTTTTCCAAATCAACCAATCAATTAAAAAGGTTGTGTGTTTAGATTCTGCACATGAATGCAAATTTATTTTAAGCCTTGTCTCATATCTTTCCAATAAGTGTGACCAAGACCTAATGAAATACACAATGGTTTAAAAAGTTAATAAACTGAACTTCATATATAATTTCAATAACACTTAAATAAGACTATATATTTTAGAAGACAGAGGCAAGTCATGGAGTTTGGATAGTTGGAAACAAAAAAAATACATTTCATGTCATAATATTCATTAAATATAACTGATCACATGCTATTGAATACTAAATATAGCTTTAGAGTGTTACAATAGCGCAGATGAGGATCTGTGTCGCATCCCTACTAATTTAATCAACTGCATCCCATTAAGTCCTCTTCAGCTGAGCAGTTGGGGGGAAATTAATTGAGGTTTAATGGGCACTCATAAATACCTCTCTGTATAATCAATCATTACAATTTACTCTATGCAGCTGCATGTTCAGCTGTTGGCTGAACAGAAATAGTTGTTTTGGTTCTTATATTGACATGGAAGTGATCTGTTTTTTGTTTTTTTTAATATAGTTATTGTTTTTTATATGAATAGATTACTGCATCATTTATCATCCTCATTGCCAAGTAAATTGTTTTTATCATCATTTTAAACTTCCCCTCGTCTAAAAGGAAAACTATTTTGAAATCCATCCATCCATTTCTGTCACGCTTATCCTAAGCTAGGTCGAGAGGGGTGCTGGTGCCTGTCTCCGAACGAGAGGCGGGGTAGACCCTGGACAGGTCGGCAGTCCATCGCAGGGCAACACAGAGAAAAACAACTATTCACACACACACACTCACACCTAAGGAGAATTTTAGAGAAGCCAAATGACCTAACAGTCATGTTTTTGGAATGTGGGAGGAAGCCAGTACCCCGAGAGAACCAATGCATGGTCAGGGAGAACATGCAAACTCCATGCAGAAAAACCCCATGCCGGGAATCAAACCCAGAACCTTCTTGCTGCAAGGTGGCAGTGCTACCCACTGTCACACTGAGCAGCTATTTTGAAACCCATAAATTCCAAAACATGTCCTGGTTTAGGATAGTTGCTCCTGCAACAACTTGAATATATATAAGAGCAAACAAACAGTCCATGTCTTGCAGGAAAACGAAATGTTCCATTGACCTATCCAAAGTAAAATACATCTGTACACCCAGGAATGCAACAATATAGTTAGACTGGACAACACGTGGTATGGGTTAACAGGAGCAAGACAATTGCTATTCTTCTTTTTTAACAATTATATAGCAATAGCTCTTTTTGCACTGTAAGTAAATTATACAAGTATAAAAAAAAGGTACATAGACACGTTTTGTACCAGATTTGTACCATATTATACACAGTTGCAAAAAGAAAAGAAATGTTCAGTTAAAAGAAAATCCCATCTTGATGATTAGTTTGCTGATTCCTGCATTAATAAGCTCTGTTTGTTCTTTGAAGTATACTTCTTCAAAGGTCCCTCAACTATTTAGCGTCATTCAACAAGTGATCCTTAATAAGAAATATGAATATGCATATTTAGATTTTTGTTAGAACCATTCTAAACCA